TAAAAAAATCGTCCGATTTAAATGAAACTTGGTATGTCAATAGATTGGTACCATTGCGATAAAAAAAGTAGTACAAGAATTAGTAGTACCAGATAGAACTCGTCCTGGTCTATAAGGATATCGAGAAGTGGATATCGTTGAACAATACAATTATGCCACCTAACTTTTTAGGCGTTACCATGAATTTGGTAATAATTGGTAGGTAGACGTCTCGAAATAAAAGTATGAAAAATTTACCTATATTTTAAAAATGGGCAATTTTTCAATTTTTTTTTATCTTTTATAGACCAGCAGATTAAATCATATTTTATTGTACTATTTTTTTAATCGCAATGGTACATATGCATAACTTGACCGTTTACTGTGACAGTTAGTTTTGACATCGTCAAAAGTTGATCCCGTCGGATCGCAACAAAATTTGGTGGGTAGGCTATATTTTTTAGTAATTTCAACGACGCGCGACGGTGCACACGGTCAAGTTGGATACACCCTGCAAAGTTGGATACGACGTTTCGTTTACATCGTTTACATCTTCAGCAGGGTGGGACTAAGGATTTGATGTTAAAGAAAAATGTGGGGTCGATTTCGGCATAATTGGGGACGGGCTACAGCATGACGCCCTCAACGTTTCGAATGCCTTTAAATGGACGAAATCATCAGGATTTTTCTTAATTATGGGTCGATTGAAACCAAACTCGGCATGCAAATAGAGGTCCACGAATAGAGTCCTCAGACGCACAGACAGAAGTGAACACACAATTATTTATAGTTTATGTTTTATAATCTGTGGTTGGCCAGATGGAGCCGCCCACTAATGAATAAAATAATCTTAACTAACCTGGCACAATTTATATACGTATGTCAAAATTTCGAATATAGAATACATACGATTTATGAAACACTTCTAAAAGTCAGGTGGTCTTATATTTAGAGTACTTATTTCCGCTAGTTAAAAAATAAATATACAGATTGCTAAAATTAAACTAAATCTGTGCGAGCTCTTCAAACTCGATTATTTCATTCATTAAAATGATGGAGCTGTAGCTAGAAACGTAACATACATTATAAGGATATCCCAATATAGACATAGAATTACTACGTATTTTTAAAATCAAAATAAGTTCGTTGGACACAATTTACTTCTATAGATCATTCCAAATAAACTTTTAGTCACGTTGCCCACTTTTACATATTTTCTTTTAATTAAAATATTTTAGGAAACAAATATGAATTAATTATAAATATATAAAAAAGTTATTAGTTATATAGGTGCCCGGTGGCGTAGAGACTATTTTTATTAAAATAAAAATAGTTTGGGTACCTAGGTCGACTCAGTCTTAAATGAGTATTTGGGATTCACAATCCTGAGGTAATAATAGGCGGTTGAAGCGTAGTGCTAGCCACATTACCTTCCTTGTATACCGAACGGCTCTAGTATAGCAAGCTGTACCTTTCTGCTCCCAAGGCGTCAAACGCTATCCATATACGGGAGCTATTACTATTATTATTAGTTATATAAAAAAACTCATCTCCTTAACAACATTTAATGGACATAAAGACCCAGTATTACCGCTTTCTCGTTCAAAATATTCTAATAAGGTTGAGATAAGTTTTTTGCAACGGCTGTTAAGCTGCTTTCATCTTATACACTTCGCACTACAAGCGGTTCTAAAAAACAATTTTCTACTGCAAGGTCTGCTAGTAAAAAAATTAAGCTAAGACAACAAAATTCACTTAAACCAAAAACTCGCAAAACAAAACTAAAGTGTCAAAACGAATCAAAATGTCAGGAAATAAATAAATAAATGTGGCAACTTGACATTTTTTACAGCAGAGCTGCGACCTGAATCGCCAGCGGGAATTTTAAATTCCAGTTAATCAGCCCGGCGTCGAATATGTCCATGGTTGGTAACAATCAATTTAATAATTGTGCCCTCGATGACGCAACTAAAAGTTTAATTGGTATCGCTTATACATGGTGCTTCAAAAAACATGTGCCATCTCTCGTGGGGAGATTCCTCACGTAAAAATAAGATTTATCTTCCATATTTTTCTTTGTGTCGTAGCTACAGGGTGTTAAAGTCTTAATAAGTTTTAGATTTATTATAATAATTTTCTTCCAAGTACTTTTAGTAATTTCAATGAAATTTTAAGGATAAAAGTTACTATAAGTGCTGCTTATTTTAATGCTATAAAAGTATCGATAAATTCATCAGGGACGTGCATATGGGTTATCACTGGAATATTTTTCTAAAAAAAATATGTGAGCAACTGACTTTTTTCTTTTGATATCAAAATTGTGTAGGTAAACGGCCTATTATTGTAGGTAAATGCCAATTATAAGTTATCTCTTGATATTTTGTCGAATTCGCCCTCCTTTATGAGAAAAACGCGATTAATCACAATTCATAAAATTAATAAATTATATATTTTGCCTAATTTATTATTAAATATTATTACATTGGTTATTATTACTATTAGTCCAACCAACAGCAATTTCAAATAAAAATTATTGGTATTTAAGATAATTACAAAAAACCTCTAAATATCCTGTAACTTTAAAACTATACAGGGTTGTTCACCACATACGACACGGAGTATTGTAGCTAAACGATTAGATTTTTACAAATTGTAAGTTTTGGGTTTGTTGAAGGTCTATTAGAGCTACAATTTAAAAATATTTTTTCAAGATACAGAGTGTCCCAAATAAGTAAAAAATATTACAGTTGTATTTTTTAAATGGAACACCCTATATATTATTCTATTTTTGGATTCTACGATTGAAATAAAGGTAAATTTTATTAAGGTTTATCACACTTAAACCATACCGTTTTTGAAATATTTTCAATTTTATGAAACTGCAGTAAAAATTTTAAGGCTTTATTTCTCCTAGGGTATCAAAGTTTTTAATACTAAATATTTACTGAAGATTATTTATTGATCAGATATTGTGTTGCAATAATAAAAATTTTACTACGTTATACAGAGTGTCCAAAAATTTATATTAAATAATTACTAGCTTTAAACGGCAATAACTTGTTTCATTTAAATGGAACACCCTATATATTTTACGTGAATCAGATGCACAATGTAACTGTCTATCAAATTGTATTATACCATTTTTTACCCATCTCTTCAAGTTTTCGTAGAAATTGCATTTTGTTATAATTTAGACCTCATTTATCACTATACCCATGGAATATTGACATTTCAGATTTTTTTATAGCAACATAATATGTACAAAATGTACAGGTGGTAAATATTGCATGCCCATTGGCATACAAAAAACTTTTGTAAAAGAGTATACCAATTAAATATACCACCATTATTTCCTACCAAAAACACCAAAAATTAGTTAATTACATACTTTTAAATTGTTTTAATTAATAAATTATTCTAAATAAATGTGGATTTGGCTCAGAAATCAATATAATAATAAGTTATGAAAATGAATGTCTCTGTTTTTATAAATAAGCATTCGTCAATAAATGAAATAAAATTTATAAGGTGTTACTTTTTACCACACTGTGTAATACACACACAAAATTCAGTTTTTCAGTATTTGGAACAATTATTACTACAACGTAAACAGTCAATTAATGTAGTTTGAATACTGGGATCATATTAATTGGTCCTCTTTAACAAAAAATATTTAAACAGTTTTTTTTTATTTTTTAATTAAATAAGCAAACTATATCAACAATATTAGTATATGTACCCTTTGAAAATTTGTTACATCTTTAAAAATAAGCTAAAATGTCAATATTCCATGGGTATAGTGATAAATGAGGTCTAAACTATAAGAAAATGCATATTCTATGAAAACTTGAAGAGATGGGTAAAAAATGGAACAATACAATTTGATAGACAATTACATTATGTATCTGATTCACGTAAAATATATAGGGTGTTCCATTTAAATTAAACAAGTTATTGCCGTTTAAAGCTAGTAATTATTTAATAAAAAATTTTGGACACTCTGTATTAGGTCGTAAAATTTTTATTATTGCAACACAATATATGACCAATAAATAATCTTCAGTAAATATTTAGTATTAAAAACTTTTATACCCTTGGAGAAATAAAGCCTTAAATTTTTTCTGCAATTTCATAAAATTGAAAATATTTCAAAAACGGTAAGGTTTAAGTGTGATAAACCTTAATCAAATTTACCTTTATTTCAATCGTAGAATCCAAAAATAGAATAATATACAGGCTGTTCTATTTAAAAAAATACAACTATAATATTTTTTACTTATTTGGGACACTCTGTATCTTGTAAAAATATTTTTAAATTGTAGCTTTAATAGTCCTTCAACGAACCCAAAACTTACAATTTGTAAAAATCTAATCATTTAGCTACAATACTCCGTGTCGTATGTGGTGAACAACCCTGTATAATTCCATACCCATGTAGTATATAGAAACTTTTTTTTCATATTTTTTTGATGAGGAATCAATGAGTACTTATTTAAAACTTTCACAAGTTGATTATATTAATTTTTTTAAAGGTTGTTATTAGATTTGGATCTAGGCAAATTAGTAAAATTGCGTTTATCTTTTCTATCAAGGAGGTCGAAGTCGACAAAAGATCAAGAGGCCACTTTTAATCGGCATTAAACTGCTTACATTATTTCGCTAATAAGAGAAAAAAAGTCAGTGGCGTACATGCTTTCTTAGAAGAATATTTCAGTGATAACCCATATGCACGTTCCTGGTGAGTATGTCGCCAATTTTTTTTAGCTTTAAAATATGTCACATTTATAGTAACTTTTACCCTCAAAATTTCATTCGAAACGCTAACAGTACTTGGAAGGAAATTATAATAAATCGAGAACATAATAAATCTTTAACACCCTGTAGCTACGAAACAAAGTAGAATCGGACCTATGTTGATATTAAAAATAAATCTTATTTTTTCGTAAGGAATCTCCCCACGAGAAATGGCAAATGTTTTTTGAAGCACACTGTATCATCTAATAATCTATTCCTTGTTACAGATACAAAACTAAAAGGGCGCAACACGAAAAAGGTATGCACGATCAGCAGAACAACAACCCCCTACCGTCACCGAGAAGAGTGGCAGTACCGGTGCTCGTGAAAGATGGCAGGCCATGCTTGGGCGGTGCGTCAAAACCACAAGACAATATGCAATTACCTCCTGGGCACCATTTGAGTTCCTTAATGGGTGCCCACGGTCCACCGCACCCGATTTTGTACGGCCAACCGACCTGGTGGTAATAGTGTAATTAGCGCGAAATGTGAAATGAAAAATAGGGAAATTTAATATATGTTTTCTTTTTGGTGATAGTGTGATTTGTTTCGAGCGAGGGGAAGAATATTGGTAAGCTTAAAACAATCGTTTACAATCAGGTCAATTTTTTTTATTAGCGTATTAAAGAAGGGCGAAAGTGGCATGGGGCCTACACCAAATTATCCAATTTTTACAGTTAACTTAGGGTCAACCAGAATTTTTTTTGTATACAGGGTGGTCCGATAAAGCATATTCTGCAGTAAAAATAAGTAAAAATGTTCGCATAAATGTGTGTCCTAAAATGCTTAGTTTCAGAGATACAGGGTATGGAAGTTTCATTTTTATTTCGATTTTTTCTAAATAATTTCTGAAGTAACCTCAATATTTGGATGAAAATTAGTGTCTGGCAGTTTTTTGACATGATAAATTTGATTTTGATGTCAATATGACTCCTACTAGTAGAGGGCGCCACCTACATGCATTTTAACTGTTTTGAAGCGTAATGACTTTTTGTCCGTACCTGTATAAAACTACCGAGTGAAAAAATATACATCTCTGTGACTTTTTGCGTATAAAATATCTCTTTGTAAAAATCGCTACGAGCAACCGTTCTTAAGATATTTAGAATGGAAATAGTCAATACATGTCATTATTGACGAAAAATAAACACGTTGAGTAGATAGTTATTTCACTGAAATAATAAATTTGGGAAATTTTTATTTTTTTAAATTAATCATAAATTTTTCTGCAAGAAATGATGATAAAACAGTTTCTGGCACAAAACATTTCAAATTTATGATTTCAGCCTAAGAACTGTTTAGTCAATATGTTTAATTTATGTCAATGATGACAGGTATTGATAATTTCGATTCCAAATATCTTGAGAATCATTACTCATAGCGATTTTAACCAAGAGACCTTTTTTACGTAAAAAATGTCGTAAATGTATATTTTTTTACTCAGTAGTTTTATACAGGTACGGACAAAAAGTTATTACTGTTCAAAACAGTTACAACACATGTAGGTGGCGCCCCCTACAAATAGGAGTTATATTGACATCAAAATCAAATTTCTCATATCAAAAAACACCGAGACACAAATTTTTATCCAAACATTTACGATACTTCAGAAATTATTTGGAAAAAATCGAAATAAAACTTCTAAACCCTGTATCTCCGAAACTAAGTATTTTAAGACATATATTTATATGAACTTTTTTACTTATTTTTATCTGCAGAATATGCTGGCGAAGTTTCCGAAATACAATTCGGACCACCCTGTATAAAATGGTGTTTATTAATAATGTGTTAATGTTTAAGTGGGTGATTCTTGGACCTATGTTAAAAAAATCATATGAATGTATGACCTAAACATCTTAATTTTTGAGATACAGAGTGGTAAACTTTTCTAAAAAAAACACTTTTTTTCATAATTACTCTGAGGTTGTTATTAATAAAAAAATTATAAAAAATATAATTATTGTTGAAAAATATTCATTTCAAAATCCGTATGGACGCCACTGCTAGAAATAATAAAATTGTTTGTACATGAAAATAGGCATTTTGATGCATAGAAAACGTGTACCAAATTTCATAAAGATATCTATAATAACATGGGAGTTATTATGAAAAAAGCTTATCTTTAGAAAATTTTACCGCCCTGTATCTCAAAAGTTAAGACGTTTAGGACACACATTCAAATGAAGTTTTTTTCTTAGAATGTTCAGGAATCATCCCGTTAAATATTAGCATGTCATTAAGGAACACCCTGTATTTTGCAATGTTTTTTTCATTTCTGCGAGTGCAACACCAACCTTTTTTTTAAATCAAAAATTAATTTTGTTTTTATTTTCTTATACTATTTAATGCATTTTATCGAATCATTTTAATACCGATTTTTTTATTGAATTGAAATATATACAGGATGTTTTAAAAAACATGTGCCATTTGGGGAGATTCCTCCGTAAAAAGTAGGGTTAAGGGTTATTTTTTTTTATTCTCCCAAGTGCTTTTAGTGACTCGAATGAAGTTTTGAGGATAAAAGTTACTATAAGTGCTATATCTTTTAATGCTAAAAAAGTGTCTATACAGAGTACAGATTCACCAGTGACGTGCATATGGGGTTATCACTGGAATATTTTTTCTATAAAAAACATGTGCACCACTGACTTTTTCTCTTGATAGCACAGTTAGGTAGGTAGGTTATTAAAACTTGTCATATTTTTTCGATTTTGGTCTCCTTGACGAGATAACCAAAATTTTATTAATTTGCATTAATCAAAGAATACTAGCAACCTTTAAAATTTTTAGTATCATTAACTGCCCAAAATGTTAAAAAAGTACTCATTAATTCTCCATCAAAAAATATGAAAATAGTTCGTATAAACATTGGTATAGTTTTAAAGTTACAGGCTGTTAAAACTTTAAAAAAGGTCTTTTGTAATTATTTTAAATACCATTATTTTTCTTAAATTTGCTGTAAGTAGCACTAAATATCAGTGTTATAAATTTCACAAAAATTTAATAATAAAAACGTTAAATACATAAATAATTTATTATTATTATTTTTATTTTAATTTTATTAATTGTGATTAATAAAATTAAAATAACAATCAAAATGCAACTTCTAATCGGCAATACACGGCCTATACAATTATTCAAGAGAAAGTAAAGTCAGTGGCGCACATGTTTTTTTTTAGAAAAAATATCCCAGTGATATCCTATATGCACGTCCTTGGGGAATCTTTCGACACTAATTAAAAAAAAATAAATTTTTATACTAAAATATCTAATACTCAAAATGTAGTATTAATTTACACTCAAAATGCGGTATCCATTGCTAAAAGCGCATGGAAGAAAACTAGAATGAATCAAAAAAACAAAACTGAATCGAACCTATGTTGATATAATAAATAATATTTTTACGTTAAGAATCTCCCCACGAGAAATGGCACATGTTTTTTGAAACACCGTGTATAAAACGCTGTAATTTCACAGTCACTTTGATTCTCTTCACAATATTTATTTTTTTTCGATAAGATGTGACTAAGGTTATAAAAAAATAAAAACAAAATTAATTTTTGGTTATAAACTTTTAAAATATTTAAGCCTTTTTTTAATGACTTCTAATTCTTTTTTTATTTAGGAATAAAAATTTAAATCACAAATTGTTTTAAAAATTAATTAAATCTTAAGTCTTAAGTCAGTTTTTGAAAAATGACATAAAACACTCTGTATAATATTATTTTTATATTAAAGATAATAGCAAAATCACTTCTTTAGAGTATAATATATTGTTTAATCTGTACTTCTATCTATTGTAATCGATTTAAAGCTTACCAATTTTCTTTCAAATATAAATTAGGTCAATTTTTATTTTTGGATAAACAGAAAATAGGATTTTTATTTTAAAATATTAGTGAGAAATCTTTTTAAGGACAATTCCAATTGAATATTCCAGAATATATGTATTTTCTTGCAAGAATGCATTGTTTTGGCATACTGATTGATTCAAATGCTGAAATATTTCGTTATAAACATATATTTCTTAGATAAAAATTAATATTGGTTTTCAATATATGAATTTAAAATAAATATTTTGGTATTTTGTTTTAATTTGTTTATTTCAGATTTCTATTTGAGGATGCCTTAAACCTTAATCTGAAATAAGTTCAATTGTTATATCGCCTAATCGAATAAGAATTTGTTTCCTTACTATTTCTTTTTTCTGTATATGCAGAAATAAAATTAAAAGAGTTATTCATTACAATACTGCTAAATTTGTATAAAATATACACTGGTTAATCTTGAAATGCAATAATATACAGGGGTTTTGAAAGTAACCTGCAAATACTTACTTTGAAATATACAGTTGGAATTACTGTAGAATGGGTAAACTACTTAATAGTACTATTACAATTGATTTATAATATATTCTACACTCACCGGTACGAAAAACGGGCATCTTTACCTGTAGCTAAATTATTTGACTTTTTAGTACCTCTTTCCGTCAATTATACGAGGGAAAACAAAAAAATGTTGATATTTTGGTTCAGGTTTGAAACACCCTGTGGAGTACGTTAACAAAGCAAGGAATTTAAAAATAATTTTAGCATCTAGGTGCATCTTTTGTCGATAGTTTGTTTTTTAGTTTATCTCAATAGGCTTTATTTTTTTGGTGATATTCGCTTTTGAAGAAGACACTAACATTTTTTCGTAATTTTTACATTAAAACCATGCCTTTGCTTTTGGTGCTAGCTAACAGACCTATAAAATAGTGTTTATGGTTTATGTAATGTCACCGACTTTGAAAAATCATATTATTATTGTCTGCTAAACTATTACCTACTCTAGCAGATATGGTTTTAAGTTTTAAGTCCAAAAGTTGGATCTGTGCCATGATCAATTAACTTAAAACCACCTCTAATAGAGTAAACGTCAATAAACAATAATACTATGACATTAGAAAAACAATAATCACTATTTTATAAAATGTTTTGTTGAGGACCCAAAATCAGTCCTCAAAAAAACTGTAAATCATTACTGTCTAATTCAAAAGCGAATATCTCGGATGAATCAAAAGGCAAACTAACGTGAAAAGACGTATCTAGATGGCAAAATTATTTTTAAATTCCTTGCTTTATTAACATATTCCACTGGGTGTTTCAAACTTTCACCAAAATATCAACATTTTGTTTTCCCTCGTATAATTGATAGATGGAAACTTTCATTTTTAATTTAGAAAGAGATACTAAAAAGTCAAATAATTGAGCTATAAATTGCTTAAAAATCGTCAAAATCGGCCTACTAAATCAAAATACAGGGTGGCCCATCAAAAACGTTCCGCAAGGCATAACGGCCAGGGTATTCTTTTTTTCAAAAAATCCAAAAACACGTCGATTTTTTTTTGTGAGGGGGACAACTTTTGCCCCAAGAATGATTGAGAAATATTCAACCCTCTGAGCGGGGGTGGCATCCCCAAACTTTTTTCAAATGGAAAGGGGGGTCAAGCGGCGCCGCAATGAAAAGAGCTTTCTATTCTCTATAATTCCT